CTCAGGCTCGGAGCAGCTGCCTGCGGTGACGGTGCTCATTTCAAGACCGCCAACAGCTACGATCCCGGTGCTCCGGTGATTCCCTGTGGTGAATCAGCCTCCCACCCCAAGCAACACGGTGGTGCTGCGCTCTGGAAACATGATGGTGCGCGTGGCCCTTCTTTGCCTCTTTGGACAGGTATTGTTCCACGACTCATTAAAGTTGCTCTTGCTTGTGCCATAATGATCAGCACCTATGAATATGGAAAGACTTTCTTTGGTCACTTAAATGAGAAAAAGAACCAGCACCCTTAATTCGCCTCCCTCTGGTTGTGTGCACTCAAAGTGGACGATGCAAGCTGGGTTAAATGCCCAGGGAACTGCAGCCACTACATTTGGTAACTAACTATGATTTCATTTCACAACTCTTTCACAGAATATAAATTAAAGGCTTTTGGGTTAAGTTTAAGAAAATGCACATAACCCCGAAACCATCGTTCAGAATGTTGTGACTTCATCTGTGAGCAGAGAGAGAGAAAACCAATGCTCTGATCGTTCTTCAGTGCTGGTTGGAAGGCAAAAAACGGACAGAAGCAGAGCAGAGTAACCCCTGCCGCTGTTCCAGGGAGAGCACGTGTGCCCGTTAGCTAGAAAGGAGCTTTGTACAGAGTAGGAGTGTTTCTGTGTTGTAATGCTTACACTGAGCAACTTGTTTCAGATATAGGTAAATAAGGTTTGGGGTTTTTTTTGTGAACTTCTGTTCAAAAGCTGTAAGCACAGATAAGAACAAGTCTTCCATGAATGCTTAATCATGCACCTAGAAACATTTGTCCTATTAAACAGTGTTTGTCCTTGCATAAACATAATACACTGTATCCATGGACACTGAGGGTAGAAGGAAATAGCACACTACTAAATAGCCATCAAGTACCCTAACATGATTTATATTTTGATGAATTAAAATAGAAATACACTGTAACTCACCAATACAGTAATACTGAATTAACTTGGAATAAACTTGAGGTAACTAACTTTGGTCTCTCGGTTTGTGTGTCATATAATGCTAATTCTGTTTGAACTGGAACACCAGCAGTTTAAAAAGGAAGGTGACATTTAGCAAGAAACGGATTTCCAGTTTTATCACTTGGAACAGAGATTAACTCTGGATATTTCCAGGAAACTTGCCAGAGAAAGCTTTAGAAATGCATCTGCTACACGTGCAGTTGCAGACAGCTCAGTCTTCCACGTGTTGCGGTTATATTTTTAACTAATTTCCAGTCTTGTATACACATTAAATCCAAGACCCTGAGGCACATAAAAAGCTTTCACAGTTAACTTTGAAAAATTTTCCTCACAACTGAGGTTGTCAATTCAAAATGGATGAAGTGGTGGGGGAGTGTTGTACAGCTGGAAGTAGAAGGGTAGTTCTGGGTTTGCGTCTCTCCATGTATCTGTTCTCACCCTTCTGCTGAAAGCGTTCAGCTGTTGCCTTTGCAGGTGTTCACAAAAACTGTGAATATATAAAGTTTTATCTGTCTTCCTTCCAGACTCCACCGAGACTTATCATACATACAGCCAAAAAAAAAAAAATTCTACGGAAGTTTGGGGTTTTGTGTGCTGCAGGGAAAGAATTTTGTGTCCTGAAGTTACCTTCTGTCAAAGTGAGGATAAGTTCTGCAGTACTTAAGAATGACTAGCATTTCTGAAGCAAAAAATAAGACGTATGTATGAATGGGAGTAATTGGAATTTTCATTGGGAAATCCATAAAGAAAGAATATTCTCTCCCATTTAGGAATGGGAGTGTTTTTCTTCCTTGCAGAACTTATCAAAATGGCAATAATGTGTTTTCAGTCTGACTGAAGATTTTTGTTGGATATTTAAAACAATGTTTAGGAAATATTTTAGGCTTCCACTGTGTGAATTAATTTTCTTTCTTTTACAAGGAGAATGATACAAAATGAATTCAATAAATTCTTATGTATTCTTGCTTAATAAATGCTTTGTTCTCCATATGTTTATTTGCAGCTCTGTATTTTGGGCAAATGTGTGTTCTAAACTAGTCTTTAGATTCTTCTTAGGTTTCTTTGCAAGAGAAAGAAAATAGTTTTAACCAAAACTGGGAAAAAAGAGTATTTAGTGCCCATGAGAGCCCTGGGAAGCTGCAGGGACAGTCCCTGGGGGATTGGAGCCTCTGGGAGCACTCGCAAGCTGCACACGTGCCAAGAGAAGCGCCTCTGGAATCATTCCCAGCCCCAACAAAGGTTCCTGCTCCCGCAGGGACCTCCATGTCCCCACAGCAGGAGCAGCCTGTGGAGCTGGCTGGGGCGGGGGTCCCTATCTGCAGGATGGATGAAAGCCCTTGGTTCCGAAGGCCACTTCTGCTGGTGTAAACAGACACACGTGTTTCCATGCCAGTTTTTCAGTGGTAGCCAGCAATAGGACAAGAGGCAACAGCCACAAACTGAAGCACGTGAAGATCAGCCTGAGTTTGAGGAAAAACCTCTTTACTGTGAGGGTGACAGAGCCCTGGAACAGGCTGCCCAGAGAGGTCATGGAGTCTCCTCTGGAGATCTTCAAACCCGCCTGGATGCCGCCCTGTGTCCCATGCTCTGGGTGTCCCTGCTGGAGCAGGGGGCTGGACTCAACCCTGCGCTTGGCTTTGGAGCCTGCGCGTTGCACACACATGGCACAAACCGTTCAGCACCTCTCTTGGCCTTTGGTGTTTTGAGTGAATGAAAGCCTGCTCTTAATGAAAGCCTGAACTACTGTCACTGCAGCCTTTCTTTCACGCATGTTCAATGAAGTGATTGAATTTTTTCACTTATTTTAATGAGGGGGTTAGTTGGTACTAAAGCAACCAAAAGACTCACACGACAACTCAATAACCAGGGCATTAAGACACAGATTTTTGCTGTGTCATACCCAAGAACTGGACCCCATCCTGTTCTGCTATGACCAAGGAACCCCAGTGTGCATTTGCCTTCCTGAAAACCTAGCGTGTTCTGAAAACTCCATTTGTGAAGGCAGGAAGAATGATGTTTACAGCGTATTTATGGGCAAAAGATGCACTCTTGGAGGATTGAAATTGATCTTCTATTATGATTTACAGAATAATTTTAGGCCTTATTTTATGAATCCCTAGTATAACAGAAAGAAATGTGGGACCATGCTGAATGAAATAGAGTCATCTCACCAACAGTGTAATTTGTCAAGTGGTCTGAACTTTATACTGTCTGACTAAAACAAAAACCAGTAAATACTGATGATACAAAATGTTTAATTTACATGCAACATTTATGGGACATCAAGGCAGCAAAACATACAATTTTGACATTTTTTTCCTTTTTTTTAATTAATAATGTTTAGAACTGAGAAAGACACACAACCGATTTCTCATGCACAAATGACACAAACTCATTGTGGTATCAGACTACGTAAAAGACTTAAGTTAAATGACACATAAATTTCACAGCAGTAGCTCCAAGAAAAGAGCCATCAGCTAACATGACTGAAAATCATGAGTATACCCCCCCTCCCAGACATGGATGCAGTGGGAGAAGAGGTGAACGGCAAACAAGAGGGACTAAATCACTGCCCCTTGATGTGGAATGATAACTGTGGCATCCTCACTCCCTCCCTGGTTCTGTAGTAAAAACGCCTCTCTAGTTTACAAATGAGGATGTAACAACACTACTGAACTGCCATGAGAGAACACCTACTTGATGCAATAACCTAAAAAAGGCCGCTACAGGAAGTAATAGACATTCTGACGGTGTATGAGACGATTTCATGGTCAGAATTTATTGCACAAACTAATTCGTTTAGGTGGGTCCATGAGGGCTTGAACGACGAGGTCTGGTCTGGTCTGGATTTTGCTGTGCTGCTTTAAAATACCGCATCAAAAGGCTGCAACAGTTGTTTACGCTGCCCTGGGTGCAGTAACTTCTGGCACTCTGGACCGCAGAGTCGAGGAGAAGCCTCTCGAGCCTCCTACATCCAGCAGGGCCCTCCTTCAAGAGACACGGAGCCCCGTGCTCCCGGAGGTTGCCCATTCCCGTGGCTTTTAGCCAAGGTGAGACAGGATTCTCTTTCTTTTGACCTCCTGCAAGTGACGAGACTACAGTAGTAGTGCCAAGGGTACCATAACAAGAGGCAAATCAACTAAAACTGTACACAGTGTAGTGACATGTTGTAAACATCTAAAAGTAAGCAAGAATTAAAAATCTCATAGTATTGCAGCTACTCATGTAAACAATTTATGAAACTTCTTTGGCACAAAAAAGCATTTTCCCTAGCACTTATAAATACAACATACATGCACTTAAGTTTTGCTTAAAAAGTTACCAATCGTACTGATATGCATTACCTAGATTAGCAAAATTCATAGATAAAGGCTTCATTATATCTTACAAAGAATTAAGAATATAGTTTGCAATTAAAAAATTAATTTGCAAACTTTGAAACTGTTGGGTAATCTGCAAAGTTTGTTTTATTTAAAAAAAATGTCTCAGGTAATTCGTATCAGTAATTTAAACCAATGACAAACCATTTGAGAAAACTGATTTAAATAAGTTGTAGCATATTACCTAATTAAGAAAAACACCTATTGCACTACTGCAGGAATGAGAAAACTCTTTCACATGAGAATATCATCTTTGCATTTTCATTGCTTCCTCTTCTGTCATGCTCCTTGGGATATTCCCAGTAAACTCAGTCTCCATGTTTCCAGCAAGGCAACACAGTGCCAATAAATCAGGACATTTCTCATATAATTTTATACTATTGCTAACTCAGGTCACTCAAAAGCATTTAGTGAGCTGCTTCCACACTTACCAATTGCTAAGTTTGCCTGATTGAGATGATCAACTTGCATGTGTTATTCTCATGCAACTGCAAGAATTAATTATCAAGACATGCTGCAGGGTGATCTTTCACTGCCACTCATACAGCTCTTAATTGCTACGATGGTGGTGATAATTGGAATGCAAATTTAATGTTCAGTCAACTTCAGGAGATCGACTGATAGATTAAATACGCAATCTGAGGTCCTATGTAACATACGCAGACAAAAAGCTGTATTTCCAAGTAAAATATTTATTTGCTTACAAAGACTGAAGTTAAGGAGTCCCTGTCTGTTCTGCAAGAGCTGACAGATATTTAAAGCACTGCAAAGAAGCACCGTGGCTGGCACAAGGCCAGCCTGTTAGCTATTAAAAGGAAGAAGAAAGCTCATGGCAGTTAAGTAGGGGACTGACTTCCAACTGTTTCGTTAAAAAAAAAACAGTTGTAGCATCAAATTATAAGTATGTCTGGT